AGGTCATGCAAAAGCCAATTAACGGCCCCGTCCGTGTCGCCTACAGCCCGCGCAGCCGTCATCGCGAGTAAAGGGAAGTCCCAGCCGTAGGAATCGGAGATGTTCCACGTGGAGAGGACCTTTGCATAGGTGAGGTTGAGGGAGGCGGGGGAGAAGGAGGGGATGTTAGGCTGGGGCGGGAGCCAGCCGTGGATGCCGAGGAGGGCAGGGTGGTCGGATGTGAGGTTGGGGTCGGACCACATTGAATCGTCTAATCCCTCGTATATCGGACGGTCTTTCGTCAGCATTGATGTGTTCGGATAGGAAGAATAGTAATTTCCTTCCGAATCCTCGAAACCCCTTTCTTTCAGCATGCTCGAGCTCATATTTGTTCGCCAAAATGGAGCTCAGAGGGGAGCCGAGTGACCAGTGGTCCTTTGAGGTAATGGGCGTAGGGCATTCATCTCCGTCCGTGATATTTCTAGCATATATAGCAGACAAAATGGGCCTGCCAGTGGACCGGCATACAAGTTTGTCGATAGGCGCCCGTACCCGACAGGCTGAATTGAAGCCGGATGGGGGACAAATGACCTGAAAGTACTACACTATGTAGTATCAGTAGAGAACTTGATCAGGGTGCACCTGCACAGTACAATTGATGTGACAGGGGCACACTGCGGGGTCGTCCTTCAGGGCTACTGATAATTTTGTTGATCATTAGTCTCTCATAATGATCTTTTTTATCTCCATCTGTGCATCGATTCTTGTCACTAATTATCTGCATACAGGTGAGTATCAAATGAAACACGGGATAGCGGGACATTTTAATTGTTGTAGGTACGAGCGCTGCTGTCAGGAATCATGTTCTTTCTTTCTTTTCTTTTTCAAAGTTCTTCGGTGATGCAGCCGAATGATAGACTAATTCTACTAAATTTCGTCATTCAGCCCCAACTAAGAGCTTGAACAGATCTGTGATAACTGTAAGGTTACAGTATATCAAGAAGGGTTGGAGAGTTTCAATATTGTAATAGGTGATTGATAGTATATTCTATAGAAACAGCGACATAGAGAAGTTACATATTAAATTAGCACATTGAGATATGAACTTCAAGGGAAGTTCAAATCCCCCGTAATGGATGACGAAAAGCTCAACCAGTTTACCATAGGCTAGGACCCAATTTGAGACCCTAGTCTTGACCGCTCACACTAGTCCATAGCGAGCCCTTTTCCACAATTTCCCCTTTCTTCGCCAAAAGCTCATCCACATCCTATTTTTAAAAAGTGAATCAGCACAAAAATCCACTAACTTAGTTGGCATCAACGAATCTTCCCCTGAGGAATTCCGTTTTTTCGTGTTGTGTGACTAGCAAGATTAGGTGTGTCATCGAAGAGAGCGCGAACGGGCTCGAGCATAGCAGTCACGATGTCAGTCCCAACGACTCCTACAACCAAATATTAGATATAAATACAATCCTAAAGCGGATGATAGACTTACCAGGACGATACGCAAAGGTACGAACACCGTCTTGCTGCTAGTATTCAAAGTGCAAAAACTCAGCGAATCGATTCTAGGATCGTTGGGTCAGGTGCCATGATCGCATTAAAATATGCGAAAGACTTAATATGAGAGATTTGGAAGAGTAATACACAGAATATCCGGGAATTGTATTGGCCGATAGGATAGAAGAGGTATTGAGAATTGTCAAAGGACGACCGAGGTTGCGGCGCAGGAAATCACGGGTGGGTAAGTAGGTTCCTTTCGTCTTAGCCTATGGATGCTGTTAAGCTTTGCTCGAGAATTAACTAAGATATTCCTTACCTCGAGAACACCCCACCACTCTTCTGGATCGCTTTCGTGAATTCTATGTCTGGTTTCTATGGATCTAGAAAGAAAGAAGGTCGATTTTCATTTGGAAATCCCGGTATTTGACAAGATATACCCAGCGTTGTTAATAAGGCCTGTGAATGAATGGATCAGATAAATATATTGCACAATTTATGAGTTCAGAAAAACGTACCATCAAGTTCCCCAGCGGTTTCGAAAAGCTTCTCGTTAAAGCTTCGGTCCGTAATATCCCATACAAGGAATATAATTTCAACTTGATTGCTTGAGGAATGTTGTGGGATTTGTATGTAATGTATAGAATAGTTTGCTCCTTTTCATTTGGCGCTTTGATAGGACTAGTACTGTACCATGTATAAATTCATTTTAATCTGGTTAGCAGAGTGCAATTCGTGACATACTCGTCGTACATCGATTGACTTGATTTCGCGAGCAGGGGAGAAAATGTAATACTGCTCCGTGGCGAGTGCCGTCATTCCGAGCATTCCATATCCACCAACACATGCTATCGAGGAGCGCATTCCTGGAGAGAGACCACTGTCAGTAGTTCCAGCTCCTACGGCTCGAGGTCATTAACCAGACATTCGTAGTCACGAAGTTAAAGCCAGATTGTCCTCAAGCTTCAACGGTTGGACGCGCGCCCTTGGATTATCCCTATTCGTGCGGAGGAGATTTAGAAGTTCAACTTTCAATTGCTCGTACGTCTGCATCTCTCCACCCCTTCTTGATACCATAACCTTACAGTTATCAAAGATCTGTTCAAGCTCTTAGTTGGGGCTGAATGACAGAATTTATTAGAATTAGTCTATCATTCGGCTGCATCACCGAAGAACTTTGAAAAGGAAAAGAAAGAAAGAACATATGATTCCTGACAGTGACACTCGTAACTACAACAACTAAAATTTCTCGCCATCCCGTGTTTCATTTAACACTCACTTTTATGCATAATTAGTGACAAGGATTAATGCACAGATGGAGATAAAAAAGATTATTAAAACAGACATTAGTAATGAGCAACAAAATTATCAGTAGCCCTAAGGGACGACCCCGCAGTGTGCCCCTGTCACATCAATTGTACTGTGCAGGTGCACCCTGATCAAGTTCTCTACTGATACTATATAGTGTAGTACTTTCAGGTCATTTGTCCCCCATCCGGCTTCAATTCAGCCTGTCAAGTACAGGCGCCTATCGACAAGCTTGTATGCCGGTCCAGGTTCATTTTGTCTGCTATATATGCTAGATCCTTTTCATGGTGTTCGTTTGATACATATATGTAATTACATGTCATGTTGGCATACCACGAAATAAAAAATTTAATGCGTTAATATAGTCGATACAAACATGTAGACGAAGAGAAAGATAAACTATGATTAGGCGGCTTCAATACTGAGTTAGTTCATGCGGCGTATTCATGTCTGAGACATGAATACATGATGTCTGACATTTGTTGCAACACTGACCTACAATTATCAGGTCTCCCCCCTGCTCTGTTCTGTTACACGGTCGTTCCGCTTTGTTCTGCTATGCGCATCACTCTGTCCAGAGATAACACGAGCATTCTATCGCTGCTCTACTGCCTATTCCAGCCCATTATTAGGCGCCAAGGGTGTCCGGGCACTTGGATGTGATATCCCCGGAAACTTCAAATCCTCCATATTTGTCTCCCATTCCAACGGAATCCACAGCGCGTGTCTTTAAAAGACTCGGTTAGTACGCGATTCACAGGCAGTATCTGGAATAGCTCTATTTCCGGGATCGTTGGCCTTTCAGGTGACCTCGTTATGAACCAGGATTTGATCTCACCGTTCATTGTGGTCGGGAATATGGGAAAAGCAGGAGGGTCACTGTGGGATGGCCCTGAAGGGATTGGGCGAAACTTAGTCTTTTTCGATATATATAATGGACTGAGCTCATATTTTTTTATAGAATCCCGAGGCTTTTCCCCTCCTAAATCAAGTTTATTTAATTCAAAACCCTCTTAATTCAAGAGATCCTTTAATAGCTCCAGTCACACAGTCGACAACTTGAATCCAACATAGCATACCTAAGTTATATAAATATATATTCGTGCCAACGATAAATAATTAAATCCAAATTATCTCCAATCCCCTGTCTGCATGTCCCATTCAGGGGTGTATCGTAATATGCCGGTCAGTTGCGGTGAGTAACTGGAATGTGAAATTAACGTTATTAATATTCCATCTTTTTCAAATCTTTTTTCTTTTTTATTCCTGATGGGAAGAGTTATACAATGGAGGACGTTGACATTGCCCTCTGTTGGCACGCTTCTCCACTGGCAAAGCGACGGAACAAATATAACCGTCTTTCTAATACGATACCATGTTGGATTTCTCAATATTTTCTATAGAATGCGCATTACTTAAAAGCATCTTCTCGTCTATTATGCACATTGAGAATAACCCCTTCGGGGTACTTCTATTTTCCTTCATCTAGCCTATTGCTCTTGTGGCGCAATGGTAGCGCGTCAGACTTCTACTTTGAACAAAGATGTTTGAAGGAAGCTTAATCTGAAGGTTCTGGGTTCGAGTCCCCGCAGGAGCTTTACTTTTTATCGTTTTTTATGGGGCATGTGAACCGTGAGCGAGAGGCAGAGGATGTATAGGAGAACCGGGAGTGGAAGCGAAAGGGCCATCCGGAACAGACGCTAAGGTACCCGGTCATAGTACTATCTACGTGGCAAGAAAGCTCCGAATGAATATACGTACTTAAAATTCTGCTTCGATTGGAACTATCTAGTCATCAAGTTATAAATTACATCCAATGCCTCCATTCCGAATCCTCAGCCATCTCCCAATTAATCCGGACCTATGCATTACATTACTTAATACACAGTATCTCCCCATCCATCCGAAAAGGAAGCCCACGAAATATCCCGACTCTAATAATACACACAGAAAACCGAGAGAGAGAGAAATAAAGAGAAATAAACACAGAAACCGAGAAACCAGAAACCAGAGCAAGACCGAGGATAGCACATTATAAGGCGATGCAATAGAATGACAGCGACGACGGTGGCGACTGTAAACCCAGACCTAGACCCAGAGTGGCAGACTGATCGTTGTGAGGATTGAAGATGATGAAGATGACGATGAGAGTGAAATAAAGTAAGTGAAGAGCCATGTGACGCGTTAATGTGGGGTGAGGTACGAGATGGAGGAGTGACCGAAATCCCTCTGGGAACCCACAACTCCTGTCGGCGGATCGAATTGACAATCGATATGGTGTCCCGGGACGGTCCCTCAAAAGATTTGGATGCCCACGCCAAGATCCCTCAAGCCATCCTCCTATAAGCTCTCATCAACTTCTCTCTCATCATAATATATCTCTCCTTCCACCGAAGGGACATTTCCTGTCCCATCTCCAATGCCAGCTCCGACTCCGGCACCAACTCCAGCACCGATCCCATTTCCAATCCCAATCCCATTCCCTACCCCAGCCCCACCCGCAGGCCCCGTCCCAGCCCAACCA